TTGAGGATTGATCCTCAATTGCTCCTTTATCTTTCTCAGTTTGAAATTGTTCCTGAAGATGACCCCCAGAATGCCATTGTCAGCTCTTCTGCAGATGCTTGTCATGCAGAACTGCTCAAGACCATAAGTGCTACTATGTAAGTTGACCAGCAGCTTGAAAGGCTAAAAGGATCACTGGATCACCGTCAGTACAGTGAGACCTTTACTCTTGCTTTTAATGAGTGGAGATCCCTTATTTTATATAACAGAAACCTATCCTGAATCCTTCAGACATCTTAGCAACTAGAGTCTCCACAGTAGCAAAGTCAAGAAAGCTTATCCTGTGTGTTCACACCACTATTCCATTCTTAAACCCATCCTTATCTCCCTCTAAGCTCTCAAACTAAAATTCTCCCTTTCCTGTTTAGAGGCAAACCAATGCCTAACCTGCTTCCAACTGGAGCTGACTTCTTTGGATTTTCTCATCCAGCCATCCACAACCTGATCCAGAGTTGTCCAGGAGCTCGAAAATGCATCGAGTAAGTGTGGGCAAGTCCATTCCCTCGAGAGAAGCTCAGTGATCAGCCAGCTAGGGACCTAAACCGGCAGTTACTGCTCTATTCATTCATACGTTTATTGAACTTCTATGTCCAAGGCATGCTTGCTTCTCGATCAGTGTGCCTCAGTATTGGGCCTCTCAGTCCTCAGACAGGTGAGCAGGAGCCAGTACCCCACTGTACCATAGTACCATTTTCTGTGTGTACCATGACAGCAAAAGGATTGGGAAGTGTAGCAGAATAATGTGTCACCAAAGAGGCCTATATCTTTTATGTGTTTTGTTACCTAATATGTCTTTTTAGATATATATGGGAGAAATCTAAAGAAAAAATACCTGATCCCTTGGGAGATAGGAGTGGGTTATTATGACTAGCAGACAACTCTAGAGATAATGATTCCCTTTGATCCCACAGTTACCAGTGGGTGAAATTTGATGTGTGCAAACCTGGAGATGGGCAGCTACCGCAGGGACTGCCAGAGAATGATGCATCTATGAGCTTTGAAGCCTTTCAGCAACAGACCTTTGATGAAGATCATAATGATCCCATTCTGCCAGGTATCTTTTAACTTTACCTTTCTGGTTTGAAAATTGACCATTTTTAAGCTACCCTCCCCTCTTCACACATAGCTGAGTGCCCCAAATATCCAGGCAGTAAGTGATACAAGCTTTCACTGATCCAGCCGTGGAGAGTGCTGAGTGAGAGTGGGACCTGCAGCCTGCCTGGCTTCCTAGATTACTCAAAGAAGTCACCGGGAGCACGTGCAATCATAGGAAGGCGGGGCACCCCAAGAAACCTGACCAGAATACCAGGGGAAGGTGTCCTGCGCAGGGAATAGAATTTCAAGTGAAGTCAAAGGGGTCAGGTCATGGCCTTGGCCCTGTGTTCCATGGATTCCCTCCTACAAATGCATGGAGTGATCCAGGGGTTCAGGCATTGGGGTCACGTAGAGAAAATGGAAATGAAAATAAAAAAATGGAATTAAAATTCTCACTCTTTGCCTAATATACTGTATAACCGTAGGCAAGTCACTTAATCTGTTTCAGCCATAGTTTTCTTCATTGTAAAAGTAAATATCCTAAACAAAGGCAAAATTGGGCTGACACATGCAAGGGTATTAAGGAATTGATTGAAAGGACATATATAATGTCTGACCAAGAGAGTCTCCTGAGATTCCCAGGCAGCAGTGGAACTTATGGAATTGTTTTCTCCAGGATCCTTGGACCTCCCAGAGCTTCAGCCTGCAGCCTTTGTGTCTTCTTACCAGCCTGAGTTCCTGACACATGAACCCTTGGTAGACACTCACCTGCAGCACTTGAAGTCTCCGTCGCAGTGTAGCCCAATTCAGTCTTCGGATTGAACAAGAAGGGGTCAGATACCACATATTTTCATCACGATGAATTTTTTAATTTAAACTAAAATTTAGAATATATGGAAGAAGGCAGCAATTCAGGAGTAAAGAAGATATTAAATTAACACATTTCATCATGGAGGTTCCCATGGTGACAGTTTACCCTGGGAAAAACTTCCAGCTGCTTTATTTTTAGTAATAAATTTCTCTTTACAATTCTGCTTATTTTCATCTTGTTGTAATCAGGATGTAATCTTTTTTGCTTAGCTCTGCCTGAGACAGAGTAAACTTCAGTCCCTTATAAACCAGAATAAGATAGACCCGTTGTCTTAGACCATTTGGCCTGCTATAACAAAACACCATAGACTAGGTAGCTTATAAACAAAAGGAATTTATTTCTTATATTTCTGGAGGCTGGAAAGTCTAAATCCAGGGTGCCAGCAGATGCAGTGTCTGATGATGGCCCACTTCCTAGTTCATAGCTGTCTTCATACTGTGTCCTCACATGGTAGAAGGGGCAAAGGAGTTCTCTGAGGTCCTTTTTGTAAGGGCACTAATCCCATTGCTGGGGGCTCTGCCCTTACAACCTAATCACCTCCCAAAAGCCCCACCTCCTAATACCATCACATTGGGGGTTAGGATTTCACTTAACAAATTTTGCAGGAACACAAACATTAAGTCTATAGCAGCTGCTGACTAATAAGGGAAACAGCAAAATTCTGACAAACTTCTACTCTTGATTCTGATCCAAGTTCAAAGAATATCAAGTCTCAGCCCCTGCAACCCAGGCTGCTGCTTTATTTTCACGTCAGTATCATCAAAACCAAATCTACTTTTAAGCAGGCTGGAAAGTCCGGTCCAGGGTACTGTTCATCTTTTTCTTCACATTTTGCACATCCTTCAGGGCCATTAATGGAGTAAACCTCCATTAAGGTGGAGGTTTACTGTATCACCTGATCACGGTCAGTACAACTCCACATTACCTTGTGGGATCCTACCCATGCAACAGGGACTCAGGGCTGGCTGGAATGGGAGGGCATGAAAAGACCAGAAGTAGAAGAATGGGGAAGGGCGGGTGAGAACTGAATTGTTAGTGTGCTGCCACTCATAACTGCCAACTGAGGACAACACAAATGGTATCACTTTTTATAGTAATAAATCTGACCAGCAAAGGAGGGGATCAGATGGAGCAGTGTTCAGAGCACACACACTGGCCACTATAAACTCAGAAACTATAATAAGTTAACTGTTTAGTTAGTTTATGAGTCTAAGTTTAGTTTTTTTATAAGTTTGGATAACTTTTATAATGTAAAAGAAACAATCTAATAAAATTTGGACAAAGCAAACCAGGGGTGGGAAAGGGATTACTCAAACTGTTAATGTTTTAATGTTTTTCTTTTTTCTCTGCATAAGTTGCTTGAGCATATTTGCACTTATAAGGAAATGACGTATGCTGCTTTTATCATATAACAAATATTTTTATGTTCTATTACAGCCTCAGTGAAACATATTAAAAGAGAACCTCATTTTAGAAAGACATTTAAATTTTTTTAATAAATTAGTGTAAGTTTCCTAGAACTGTTTGTCAAACTAAAATCTCAACTCGTTAGTTGTTCATAAACTTAGTGAGTCAAGACCTGCATCTTCTAAAATTAAAACAATTAAAACATGTTGGAATGTAGCACATGGAGAAAGTTTGAAATTGGTTTCAACTATAGTGTGTATACATGTATTTATATAAATATACATACACATATGGGGGATACATGAGATAATGCAAAATGTTTTTACTTTGAATCATGGTTTTAAATTTCAAAAGTACTACCCTGGTATACTTAAAATATCTTTTCATCACATTGTTAAACATTTTCTAAATTTGACAACATCCAATGTCAATGAGGTTATAGGAAAAATGGGACTATACCCTGGTGAGAATGTAATTTGTTTAATCCTTTGGAAAGGTTAAGCTGTAGGTATCAAAATTTTAAATACATATTTATCCTTTAACCTGTTAATCCATGTTAAGAACCCTAAGAAATAACTGGACAAGTGTGATATAATGTTTGCATGTAATACTCATTACAGTATTAGTTTAATAGTGGAACTTTGTTAAAAATTTATATGTCCATGAATAAGAAATTCATTAAATAAAGTATGGGACTTCCACAAACTGAAATACTCTAAATCTGTATTCTGTTTACATAGGAAAATTATTTGATTAAAATAAGTCAAAAACAGATTACATACTATGTTGTGTTAAAATTATATAACCCAAACAAATTAAGTTAATGTTCACCAAAATAGTGTTTCTCTCTGAATGATGACTTTGGGGATGATTATTGCTTGCTCATATTATACTTTTCTTTAGTGTCCAGATTTTCTACAGTGATTATAAATTTCATTTTCAAAGAGGAAAAAGTTCTTTTCATTTTGGGAAATACACTGAATTCCCACAGAATGTTTTATTCAACCACTAAAAATAAATTTACACATGACTTATTTAATATATCCACTACCTAAACCAAATTCTTTACACTGTGTAACTATCAATGAGTTACTGGAGGTGAAAGGAACCTGGCCTTAGAGTTCTTGGCTACCTCTAGCTGCTTCCAAATTATTAATAGAACAGCCCATGGGTATATGTGTATTGGGGGTGGAGGAGTGGACAGGTTTACTTTTTCTTAGGAGTTACTAGGTTTGTGGTTCTCATAGGGCCAGACGCATGAGAGGTCAAAGGATGAATGGTTAGGAGTTAACTGTATGCTTAGGAAGTGCTCAGAGAGGCCATCGTTCCTTGCAGAGTGCACAGTGTTTGTTTGTTTTTTGTTTTTTAACTAAATAAAATCTTGACCCTGACAAAGCTATTCCTGCTATTTGGAGCTACACCCCAACCTCTTGGAAGACAGATGTGGAGTAAGTGATACTTACTGCTTTAGTACTCATTTTTCACATTAAGGGATGAAAACTACCCATAGGGAACATTCTTACTCCTTTCCCATGCTTTAAGGAAAACTTACAGGTTTGTTCCTAACCGAAGTTTACCCGCATGTAAATATATACACATCACTAATGATTATATTTTTATTTCCTACTTCTAATAATACAATTTTCAAATGCCATTAACTATTTTTAATCAACCAATAAACCACATTAAGCTTCTTAACAGGACACACAAAAGGCCTCTTTCCCATTTGTTGCATCTGCGTTATTGTACTATCTGCTTACCATGTAGCTTTACTTTCAGCCTCATTTTTTTCTTCCTTCCGGATTATCCTCAGTTAAACCTTTTACCTTTACAGAGCCTGGGATTTGTATTTAACTTGAATGACCCACTTGCCTTTGTTACCTCTACTTTCGTGTTTTCCTAAGCCCGTGTTTCCCCACCCGTCCCTGAGTGCCTTCCCTCAGCTACTACCATCTGGCCCTTTCTTTTCATTCCTTAAGGCACTCCCTTAGCACCTCCCAAAATGCCTGCACATCGTTCTGGTTTGTTCAAACATTCACATTATCAATATTTAGATTGAAGGAACAATCATTTCTGGCTTAAAGAGAATACAAATAGGCCTATATTCAATTATTTGATAGACTGTCATGTAGTAGTAAAGTTTCAGTAGTGAAGTTTCAGTTTCTCTCCCCATGAGAGAAAGATTTCAGTTCCACATAAGGGAAAACTGTTAGAAAGTTTAGAATGGAAACTTCATACAGAGATGCAATAACCACTTGTCAGAGATTTTATAAAGAACACATAAGCACTACCTGATCCATGTGGCCCTTAAAATCTCTTCCAACCCTGAGATCCCACAAAGGGGCAAAAGTGTTAGGCATTTCACTCCCAATAACAGGAGGGAAGTGAATGACACTTTGTGCAGAATTAGTCCAATACAGACCCTTAGACAAACTAGGAGACAAGAGGCAAGCATTTCAAGTTACCTACAAGCCCTAGTGCCTCAGAATATAGGAACAGCCCTGTGGTAGCTGGAAGCTATTCAATGAGGTTTTCTGTTAATTTCCTTTAAAAGCAACAGTTACCATTTAAACTCATAAATGCCAAAATCTAAAAGACACACCCTTATATCTAAATTCTAATCATACTGCAGCTGTCATCTGCAGCCTCTCTCTAATGTCCAGGAACCTGGTCTGTGATGAAAGCAACGAAGGGAGGGGCTGGCAGGGTACTGTCAGGGTGGTATAGGGGACACTGCTTATATTCACAAGGCCAGGTGGTCCAGGCATAGCGCAGAGCAACCACAGTGCCATGACAAGAACTGATCAACAGAGTCAGGGTCTGGGTGGAGAAAGTGTTCATGGGAGCTGGAAGCCACTTGCATTGATGGTCACTGCAACATGAGATCTAATAAGAGAGTCATAAAATGGAACAGTCAGGTCAGTTAGAAGGGTGTCCCAAGAAACTGGGAACTGCTCTTTGAGACAAACTAGATGGGAGGCAAGGAGCCACTCTTAGCCAAGGACCTACTTTCGACAACAGCCAGAACAAATCTGCATCCAGGTTGGGTCCAGTCACTACAGCACAGGTGGATAATACATGTTCATGTGATTAAATAAACAATTTAAATCAGTAAGTGAAACATTAACTTACTGAGGGAGATAAGGAAGCATAATCACATAAAGCATTTGGGGAAGTCTGCCCCTGAGCATTCTTCCAGTGATCCCTCCTGCCACGTGGCAAGGCAGCCAGGAACGTGAGTGAACAGAGAAGCCCAGCTGCTGTCACTACTCTGGACTCCCAAAGGAGCTACGGAATGAAGAAGTGGCACAAAGGAACTTTAGATATGAAGCCTTTCTCACTTAGGTCAGAAGGCAATCCAGAAAAGGGAACATAAATTATCCAGAACCCAAACGTTAAATTCTGTCCTGACCCCATCTATGATCCGGGGCCAGATGGTGGGCAGACCACCAGCAACTAAGGGAGAGAACTCAGAATGCAGAGACTTCTTGGGAGTCTCTAAATGCACCTAAAACCCCATGTGGAAAGAAGCTAAGTGGGGTATGCACTGAGCAAGCATCCGAAGCAGGTGGATATTGTAGTTAGGATTCCAGGAGCAACAGCCCTAGATAAACTTGTAATTAAAGTTTGTCTTTAATACTCTTTCATCTTCAATGCACTCTTTTCACACGCACACTCCCAGCCTAAGGTCTCATGATTCCCAGGGACACTCATTTAAATGTCCATTTAGGAATGCCTCCACCCTCGATGATAGAAGACTCCTGAATAACCTCTTTAATCAACAGTCTCAATTCCACAGCAGAACGATCCTTGCTGGGGATTGAAAGAAAGTAGTCTCACTACATTAATTCACACTAAGTTACAAACCACTAAGATTAAGCTCTCCAGTGAGACATGAAACTCAAAGGATATCAGAATTGAGAACAGTCTAACAAAAAAGACACCCGAGGATGAGGTATTAATACTCAGGAGCGAGGATCTGCAGTAGGTAACCCACAAATAAAGCCACAGGACCGTCCCTGAGCACAGATGGCTGCTCTGGGAGAGAAAATTAAAAATGAGTATCATCTTAACATGGACTTGTTTTCCCTTACTTGTCCATCAAAATTGCCTCTAAGCTAATGAATTAATAGCTGCTTACGTGCCCCTCTGAGATAAGCTCAGCTCCCCACCAACCAAGACCTGCTTCACCACCACGTTACAACAAAAGAGATGGGCCTCGTGCGGAGGAAATCCTGCTCCCGGCACAAGATGAACACCTATTTTCCTGCCATTCTCACCTCAAATATCTTGTCGTCCTGCTTCTGCACTTGGATTTGCTGGTCATAGGAGAGGCTGAGCCACCCCTTGTCAGCCAAGAGCTCTATCGTCTCAGGAAGTGGTCCTTGAAAGGTCACACTCTTCTCACCGTAAGCCACAGCACGGGCCCCCAGGTGCAGACGATAAGCCACGGTCTTTTTATCTCGAGGGTGGATGCTACAGGATAAAGAACAAGTAGAGAACTGTGGATTTGAGCTCAGCAATAACAATTAAAAAAAAAAAAAGGAGATTATACAAAGCACCCTTTAAGACGGTAAGAATAAAGCTGACTGAATTCCATGATCAGTGCTAGTCAGCTTAAGAGAATGGTGAACGGTAACCAAAGATGGGGCTCTGGCCTTCTACGGGTTGGAAACCATGAAACGATAGAAGGCTTGGAAGGAAGGAATAAAGGGAGGCACAGAAAGAGGGAGGAGAGCAAAGAGGAGGGAGGAAAGGAATTAGAACTAACCTAGAAGAGCTAACTCATAAGATTATTCCAGCCACTGAAAGTCATGTTTCATCTCAACTGGCTGTTCATTATTTGGTCCCCTCCAGCTCTTATTTGTTCATTCGATAAATATTTTCAAGTTCCTACTATAATCCAGACATTGTGTGTTGGGCTCTGTTTCATATTTGAAATCCCCTCCAATCCTACAGTTAGTGTGTGGTATTCACTCGGGCAGTTCACAAGTATTCCAATACTCAGCTCTTTAGAGTCCATGCTAGAATTCCATTTCCTGCTCTCACCGTAGCTAACCGTGGCCGTGTGACTTAGTTCAGCCAGTGCAATGTGAACAAAAATGACTTGTGCTACTTCCAGACAGAAGCATTTACTTGCCAGTCTGAATGCTTCAGGTGACCGTGGAAGTGCAGACCGACTTGGAGCCTCCGTGAACAATTACTGTGAGCAAAGATCTGTTGATCTTTGGACACGGAGTGTGAGCGAGGAATAAATTTTTGTCGCGTAAAGGAACTGAGATGTTGAAGGGTTCTGTTGTTGTTGTTATCGCAGCACATCCCAGCACAAATGATTGCTATATAGTGCTTCTAAGCTCCAATCCGTAGTCCAATCTGCCTCCTCACAAGTGAACACCAGAGTGAAGGACTACGGACAAAGAACGTACACGGTTCATGCAAAGCCCAAGAAGCAAACGTACCTGCCAAAAGGCGAGTCCTTGTCACAGAGATCCATAGCTACGGCCATGAAAGTGTTGGGCATCTTTAGGTTGGGGACGTAGCCAAAGTCGGCTGTTTGATGCCAACGGATCTGGGGAAATCCATCATCTGAGGTATCCTTAGACAAAGTTGAAGATAACTAGAAAGCAGAGACATCGTTGCTTTTATTGCATCAGAATCATACACTGGAGTCTCTTTCACTGGCAGATTCTGCTTCAGCTTCTCTCATTGGTTCAAATGCTCATCCAACAAGTTTTTACTGAGCTTCTTACTGCTATGGCAGTGTCTTTCCACAGATGGTTGCAACAATCCCTGTCATCCCATGTGCTCTTTTTACAAGGCAACTTTGTCACACCTCTCATCAAGTGGTGAAGTCTATTTCTCCTCCCACTGAATCCACTGAATCTGGGCTAGCCCTGTGGTTTGCTCTGATCAAAGGAATACAGCAGAAGTGCTGTGTGGCTTTTGAGTCTTTGTCTTGAGGGCCCTTGCCTTCTGAGTTCATTCTCTTGGAACCCTGACCTGGTCATATAAAAACAGTCCATTTCCCTTCTGGAGAGATTATGCAGAGGGAGGGACCTTAGAAATTGAAAGATCATATAGAAAGAGAGGCTCTAGCATTCCAGCAATCCCAGCTGAGGGGCCAGTCATGTGAATTCTAGAGCCTCCATTTCAAATTGCAGCCACGTGAGCAAGCCCAGCTGATATCCATAGTACAGAGATGAGCCATCCCAGTTGAGCCCTGCCTGGTCAACCCAAGGAATCATGAGCAAAAAGAATGGCTAATGTTTTAAGCCACTAAATTTTGGGGTAGCTTGTTACAGAGCAATAAGTAACCAATACATCTGTATACAACACAGGGTTAGGCACTATAGGGAAACAGAGAAGACTCTGCCCTTGAACATGTGGTAAATTGCATCAAAGACCCCAGTTCTTCACTCCTTCCTATATCCACACCTTCTTGCCATGTGGATTTGCAGTTCCTACCATTAGGAAGAAGAGTGTATTTCCACACCCCTTGATTCTGAGTTCAGCCATGCTGTTTGCTTTGGCCAATAGATGGAAGCAGAAATTATGGTGTGTCAATTCCCAGCGTAAGCCTCAAGAGACCCTGCATGGTTCCACTTGCTCATCTGCACTTCTGCTATCACCATGAGAAGGCGAGCTAGCCTGCTGCTCTCTGGAGAAGGATAAGAGCCATGGAACAGAGCTGCCCTGTTTAATCCACTCCAGCCAAGCAGAGCGCCTCTCTGGCTCAGAGAGATGTGAAAGAGCCCTGTGGAGCTTAGCCAAATCATCCAACCTCCAGCTCCCCAGACAACATGAGTGCTATAATAAAGGTTGTTTTAATTCATGAGGTTTTGAGGTGTTTTACTACATGGCAGTAGCTAACTGGTGCAAGTACTTTACAGCTTTGATGGGGGACAGACTTGCACATAAGAAATGTTCTTAAACAACAGTATGAAATAGTATGGAGTAAATGCTAAACTGGTGGCACAGACAGCAAGTGCTATACATTTAGAACAGGCAAAGATGATTATTATAAGAAAACATGGCCTCAGAATCCGTTAAAGAAAATCAGATAGGCACAGAAAATAGGAGAAGTCACTACAAATAATAATGCTCCTACTTCACATGTTAGAACCTTCTAAGATGCAAAGGCAGGAAGGAGAATGGCTATTTTGAGAGAGAGCACAATGTAGCTGGACTGGAGGATTTGTGTAGGAAAGGCAAGCTTGGAAAAATAGGCAAGTGTTTGGACAGGGCTTATACTTATTCTGTAAGCAATAAAGAACCACTGTAGGGTGACGGTTGTGCAACATTGTGAATGTACTAAAATGCCACTGAACTGAACTCTTCAAAATGGTTAATTTTATTTTATATGAATTTCATCTCAATTAAATAATTGCAGAGCCACTGAAATTATTGACATGATAAAAGGACCATCTCAATAGATTAATCTAGTGGTCATACAAATGGCTCTGGCAAAAAAAAAAAAATTTACGGCAGAGAGACTGATTAGTTAAGCAGCTATTACAATAGTCTAGACACAGAGACCTAATCTAGAGAGAGAATAGAAGGAATGGGATTGCCAGAAATAAGAAAACTGACAACCACACAACCAACTGGATATGGGGCACAAGAGAAAGGATAAACTCCATCACTCCATTGACATCTGAACTATCTGCTTGGAATCTAGAGCAGCCAAGTAGTGCCAGAATATTTGGGAAGTAATACTGCTCCAGAAAAAGCCTATGCATGAATAACAGCTTGTGTAATATCAGTCAGTTCATTTATTCATTCATTCTTTTAACAAATATTTACTGAGCATCTACTCTGTTCAGGCCCAGGAGATAGAGCAGTGAACAAAACACAAGAACCCCTTTCCATGCTTACATTCTAGTGGGAAGAGATAACCAATAAACAGAGAAATAAGTAAACTACATACTCTGTGAGGAAGTGGTAAGTGCATTGGAGAAAAACGTAGCAGGGAAGGAGAAGAGTATCAGGGTTGAACAAAGACCAGAAGGAGGGGAGAGAGAAAGCTATCAGGATACCTGGGTGTGTTAGGCAGAATTCTAAGATGACCTGCAGTGACCTGTGCCCTTACATAATACTCTCCCCTTTGTGGGGGGACCTGTAACTTGCTTCTAACCAATAGGCTATGGCAAAAGTAACGGGATATCACTCCCATGACTACGTTCGGTCATATGGCAAAGGTGGAGGGATTTTGCAGATGTAAGTAAGGTCCCTAGTCAACTGACTTCACGATCACCAAAAGGGAGAATATCGTGGTGAGCCTGACCTAGTCAAGGGAATCCTTTCAAAGAGGGTCCAGAAGCCACAGACTCTCTCCTGCTGGCCCTCAAGAAGTAAGCTGCCATGAGTTCTATAGCTTCAAGGAAGTGAATTCTGCCAACAACCACCTGAGTTTGGAAGAGAACCCAAGCCTCAGATGAGACCCCAGCTCTGTCTGACACCGCCACTGCTGCCCTGAGCACAGGACCCAGCTAAAGCTACGCATGCTGACTCCTCACCCATAGAAACTATGAGATAATAAATGTGCATTCTATTGTTTTAAACTGCTAAATATGTAGCAATTTGTTGTACAGCAATAGAAAACTAATACGGTGAGGAAAGAAGTTTCCAGGCAGAATGGAAAAGGAAATGGCATGCCCTAGTGCGGCAGTGTGCTTCAAGGAAAGTAAGGCAGCCAGTGTGGCTGAAGTGGAGTAAGCAGCGCAGAGAGAAATAGGAGATCAGGGCGGGAGGAAATGGGAGCAGGGGCCAGATCCTTTATGGCCTTACTGACCCCAGTCATATGGGTTGGGGGGGACCAGAGCCTTCTGGTCACTTTGGTATGTTGAGAATATCCTAAAGGAGAAAAGGCAGGCACAGGAAGGAAGGCCAGTTAGGAGGCAAGAGTTCAAGGGAAAGATGATGGTGGCTTAGACTAGTGCAGACGCAGTAACAGCAGTGAGAAATGGTCAGGTTCTGAATGCAGAGTGAGTTAACAGGATTTGTTTTCATCTAAACTGACAGTTGATATACTCCTACTCTGGAAAGGACAGAGGCTCCCAGAAAAATTCTTCACTATTACTATGATGCATACATTCCCACTATTTCTTCCTTACTTTTCTGGTGTTTACATCACTCTGTCCTTGATTTACATAGCATATTATTCTTAGCCCTAGTTCCAGCCAGTGAGAGGCATCAACCTATTATCTCTCTTTTACAAACCATGACCTGACTGTAAGTTAAACCACAAACCAGGAAATAGTCCGGGCCAGCAACTACATTGTCTTTTGACTCAATTTCAAAATGTCTGACCCCATCAGAGGACTGCGTTATAAACAGACTCTTCCACCCAGTCTTATTACTCACACAGCCCAGAAAATACCTGACATCATCCCTACAATGTGGCCAAATAAAGCTTTGAATGGAGGATGTTTTCTGCTTCCTGAGTTGCTCCAGAAAGACTAGAAAACCCTCAGGAAAACATGGGGAAAGGTTGCAATGGAAGCAAAAAGGAGCCTTGGATATGATATGGAACTAAGGGAACATTTCCAACTTTCTTATTAAAATTCTCTTATGCAAATCGGCTTTAACATAGGAAATCATATTTAATAAAATGTGCTGCTGAAACTTCACAACGGAATCTCATGAAAACTAGAAAATGGAAATAAAAAAATCCAGTGAGTCACTCTACTTCTTCCACACAACTCTCAAAAGACTGAAAGTGGAACCGCGTGCACCGGTCAGTGTCGTGATGCAGAGCACAGCATCGAAGCCACTGGAAAAGAGTCTATGGTAAGTACTAACCTGAGGGTCAACAGGGAGAAATGCTAATAACAGTCCCTCAAGCCAAAGGAGTTTACTCAAAACAGGAGTTTGCTGAGAATTCCTGCAGCAAATCCTCCACTCTATTTCATTGACTGCACTTCCACATACTAGCCACATGGGGGCACCAGCATACCCAAATGAAATTTCTGTGTTTTTCCTAATCTGAAATGGAGTGGGGCACTATTCAGTCTCCCACAGTGATTAGTAGAAATACTGAGGCTAATACAGGCACAGACCAGCTGAAGAATATAAAACTGGCCACATTCAGAGAATTTTACAAATAACATACTGCAGTTTATGGTCTGTTCCACTGTTCCTCCAAACCCCTTTTTAAAAAGCACACTCCTAAGGACTCCAGTCCCTAGCTTCCTGCTCTTTCTTTCCCAGGCTTCAGGTCACCTCTCTACTATAACTCTCGGGTACACACGTCTAGCCCTGGTCTCTCCTCTGAGTTCAAGTCCTACATCTCTAACTGCACTCTAGTTTTTGCAGCCATCATTTCAAACTCAACACTTCTATAAAGCCAATTCATCATTCCTTACAGACCAACTGTCCCTCCAGATTTTCTGACTTCTCTCATTAATAATAAAAAACACTAACATTATCCAGCATGTGCCAGACTTTACATGGACTAACTCATTCAATACTCAAAAGAACAAAGAGGTTCAATAGCTTGTTCAAAATCATGTAGCTTAAGAATTGTCAGAGCTGGAATTTGAACCCAAGCAGTCTAGCTACAGACCCATGATCTCAACCATTATGTTGTTATATTTGATATTTCCCTTTAAAGTTATGTATTGATATTTCCAGTTTTCCACAAGTAACCAACATATTTTTGTTGACAATGGTAAAGTTAAAGCCTGGAAGTTAAAGGTCTTCTACTAAACTGTAAAGCATTAAGTGCAAGGAGCAGGTCTCTCTCGTTCACGCTATATTTCTAGCACCTCACAAGGTTCACAGCACATATAATAATAAGCATTCAACACATACTGTGTTTGAAGTGGCTGGAGTCACATTAAAATCACCATGTACACAGAATAAGAGAGAAAAAAATTCCTCCAGAGTCCATGTGTAGTTTTCACCAACAGTAATACAGAACTGGTGACAGGAGCTGCTATTTTGAAAATAATGAGCAGAATAATCTTGTTTCAAAGTCAAAACGAATGTAGGAAAAAAGGAAAGAAATGATCATAAAGGCATTTTAAGTGGAAAGAAGGTCTATAGAAATCTTTACTCAAAAAAAGTGTACAATGAAACAGGAGATGGGAGGATGGCGAGAAGGCGGGATCAGCGGGAGACGTGGAGGAACGTCTGAACCATGCGTGTCCCATTCAAACCAGAGCCTACTCTGCTATGATGCTGTGGGTTGGGCCTTGTTTTTATAACACCTTATTTATTTAATTTCCTGTGTTCTAGAAAAGCCAGAACTACCACTCTGCTAAAATGTCTAAGTCCTGGCGAGGTCACATGAACAGGCGGAGGCAAGGCAATTATGACCTTAGCCAAATACGTTTATTCTTTTTATGCAAGGCTGAAAGCAGAATCTGACTAGTTATCAGAATCTTTCTGACTAGTTATCTCTAATTATGAGTCTGGTTTCTCTTTATTTATTTGTTCATTCATATGTTAAGCCATTATTTAATAAATGCTGACCAACTAGGTACCAGGGATGTAAGTGTGATCCAGGAAAATATGGTCACGTGTACAACCTACATGCAAGTAAAAAGGGAAAGTAGAAGGTGTTAAGAAAGCACATCATCTGGCTGCTTTCTTACCCAGAAAGGGGGCATTAACCCAGACTTTGGATAGTCACAGAAGGTTTCCTAACTATTATCCAGGCTGAGATCTAAAGGATGATTATAAGTTAGCTCGGAAAGTATGGGAAAGTTGGTTCCAGGCAAGGAATATGTGCAATGGCCTGGGAGTGAGAAAGCACGGTGCTTCCTAGGGGGTGGGAGGGATAACACCAAGTTAGGGAAGCTGAGGGGAAGTGGATTTTCTCATGGAAAGTTGCCAAGCATATGAATTTATACAAATTCATAAATTTCTACAGAGAAATTTGGGGACACGTTCAAAGCCTTATAAAGGTATGCCTTTTGACCTAGCAATTTCATTTCTGGGGAATTATCTTATGGAAATAATTAAGTATGGGTGCGATGATTTAGCAATAAGGAAAATAAACATGCCAATGCTTATAAAAGCAAAATGTTTAAAACAACCTAAGTGCCCATCTATTGAAAACTAGTTAAATAAATCACAATGCAACCATATTTCAGAGTATTCTGCAATCATTACAAATTATGTTCAAGATAAATATTTATTGACATGAAAAAATGCCCACAATATGACTTTAAGAGAAAGAAGCAAGATCTGGTACAGATCCTATTTCAAAAATACATGAGCACTGACGCCACGGCACTCTAGCCTGGGCAACAGAGCAAGACTCTATCTCAAAAAAAAAAAAAACACATGAGCAGGTGCTTATTTCTGGACTGTAGAATTATGAATGTTTTTAGCTTCTTTTTTGCTTACCTTTTTAATATTTCTTCAATGAATCTATAATGCTTTTTTAATAGAAAGAAATATTACTTAACTTTGTTAAAAGAGTTAATTGTCTCACCAATGAACTGAGATGAATTAAGCTTTACCTTCGGTTCTTGACCAGCACACAATGAGGGCAAAAGAAGGAACATGAATTCCAGGAAAGAGCTCTAAAGAGCACATCCCCACACCGATTCCCATGAACCCTCTTCCCCTCAACACAGGAAGAGGCACTGGCATGGACAGGAAAGCCCTTACCCAAATCGCACCTGCACAAATCCAAATGGGAAGAAGCGCTCCGTCTGCCCCTGGGAGCCGCGGTGGAAGGTCTGGCGCCAGTCTTCGATGAGCGCAGGGAACGTGCAATTGTACAGGTCTGTGTTATAATTTGTATTGGACTCCCCTAAAAACAGTCAAAATTGTGAGAGGAGTTTGGGGTAGACTACAAAAATAGCCACACATTACTCCCCTCCCTCTATCCATGCCCTGCGTTAGTGGCCTTCTGGCGGTCTCTGGGGACTGGCCTTGTCACTTGCTGTGGCCAATGGGGCATCAACAAACGTGATGCAAGCAGAGGCTCGAAAGCATTTCGGCTTTGCGTTTTGCTCTCTCGTGATGCACCAGGAACCCTGAGACTACTGTGTAAATAAAAAACAATTCTGAACTAGTTTGCTGAAGGATGAGAGGCCACCTGACAACCATGGTGCCCCAACAGACAGCCCCCAGTCAACAGATATGAGGGCAAGGCCATCTTAGATCATCCAGCCACCAGACAACCTGCCAGGTGGCCTGGAGAAATGAGTTGAAGCAGCCCAGACAGAAAAACAACCCCACTAACCCAAAGAGTTGTGAGCTAAATAAAATTATATAATTATTGTTGCTTTAAGCCACTAAGTTCTAGGGCAGTTTGTCACACAACAAAAGCTACCTGATGCCATGGAGAATCAGCACACTGAACACTCACCCTGGTACCACACCACCCCTTTCAGAGTCATGTTATGCAGCGGATGGATCATGGCGTTCCAGAGAACAGAGTGCTCACTGGGACCAGTCACAGAATCATATGGAATGGTCCTGAAATCAATAAGATGCACAAGTGTCACCAGAGAGCTAGTGATCGATCACATGACGATCCCTAAGTTGGACTTCCATCCACTTCCACTTGGAACAAACTTCTGACAAAAACAACACAGGATTAAGTTGAACTGAAAAGCTGTTTCACTTGAAAACATGTGAACTGTCTCTCAATTTCACCTCCACATTCTCTCCAAGGTACGTGTCTCAGTCAGCTTTCTGTGAGTTCAGAGTGGGCCATCCCAGTTTCTAGACAAAGTCCGTAAAGCCAGAGGGGAGGAGTGTTTTATTATATGAGCCTCTCACACAGGCAATAAATTTATTTAACCTAGTACTCAATAGATGGACATTTACGTGGTTTTAAACTTTTTTTTTTTTTTTTTTTTTTTTTTTTGAGACAGAGTCTCACTGTGTTGCCCAGGCTAGAGTGCCATGGCGTCATCCTCGCTCACAGCAACCTCCAACTCCTGGGCTCAAGCGATCCTCCTGCCTCAGCCACCCGAGTAGCTGGGACTACAGGCATGCATCACCATGCCCGGCTAATTTTTTCTATATATTTTTAGTTGTCCAATTAATTTCTTTCTAATTTTAGTAGAGACGGGGTCTCGCTCTTGCTCAGGCTGGTTTCAAACTCCTGAGCTCAAACGATCCGCCCACCTCGGCCTCCCAGAGAGCTAGGATTACAGGCGTGAGCCATAAACTTTTTGTTTTTATAAGCGATGCCATGATTATCTTCCTTATAACTAAATCATTGCATATATGCTTAATTATTTCCTTAAGATAAATTCCCAGAAATGAAATTGCTGGGTCAAAAGGAACATTTGTTTAAGGCTTTGAAAATGTTTTCAAATTTCTCTGTAGAATACTTCCATGAATGTATCCTCGCAGCTGCTGCGTGTGAGAATGCCCACTCCCCCACGCCCTTGGTAGTATTCTTTCTACCCGCCAGGGACCTGGGAGGCCTGGCTTTAGATTCCCCTCCCTGATCACGTGCTGGCCCTGACCTCCCTCCTACTCTACCACAGGCTGTTCTTCCTGTTCCAAAGTTGCGTGTCTTCACTCCCCACAGGCAAACCTTTACCCAAACCACACCAAGAGCTCAAGTCCATCCTCCCCCCAGAGGTCTCCCCAGAGTGAATGAGACAATGTCCGTGAAAGCAGGTCACACATTGCTCACGTCTATGTTGACATTAGTACTGGGATTTTTCTTAACTAGCTCTTTCTCTCCTCAAATATTCTTCCTAATCCAGCTTTTCCTAAATGGGCTTTCACAGTCAGTACACTAATATATTTCTTTAAGTACATATTTATACATTTGTTCTTCCTGCTAGACTATTTATTCTCCTATGCAACATAGCACAGCGCTTAGGAGCACAGACATTGAAGCCAGATTTTGCCACTTGCTAGATATGTCCATGCACCAGTTTCTACACCTCTCTGAGACTTAATTAATGTCTTTATCCATGATATGTTAATAGTATCTACACTTCAAAGGACTGTTGTATTATATCAATTAATATATATAAGGTGCTTGGAACAGTATCTGGTATATAAAAAGCTTTCAGTAAGTATTAGCTATTACTAATATTAAGGAAAAGGATCATAATTTCTTTTTGACATATTCTCAGATGACTGTGGTGGTGATGACAGGGAAAATAATATCTTACCTGTGCATGAATATATTACATACATTCAATACATATTTGGACAGTCAACATATACTTAACTCCCCAAAGGAGATGATAATCTTCCCTCTTAGGTAATTCCCTTAGAAGGCTGTCTCTTAGACTGGAGAATGCTTTCTTACCCTTGCTTATGGACTCCACAGGCTTTCAGTGACCTTCCAGATGACCAGGCTTCAATGGGTGTCCCGCCCCAGCTGGAGGAGATCAGCCCAATGGGATACTGCAGAGTGTCATACAGGTAACGCCCAAAGAGCCAGCACACTGCCGACATATACTTGAAATATCCATGGCCTAAGTTTTCTGTTCAGAGAAATAGTTAAAGAAAAAGTCAGGAAAAAGTAGATGGATACAAACTATGGCTACTAGATGGGTCTAAGTGAGAAGGGTGAGCATGGATCATCCCTTCTGTTCCTTTCTAAGACTTCAAACATCGGAGAAGATTGAGAGGCAATGAGAAGATACAGCATTGAGACTAATATGCTTGGTCTTGATGCTATTATCCCTTTTGGACCTTCCCTAAGGAGAATCTTTTCCAAAGGGGAAACTATAACGTTAACGTCTTTATTTTTTTTTTTAGTTGCTCAAAATGCTTGCTCTCATAATGAAGAAATAATGTTCTCTGCTGAAGACAGAGGCAGTGGTAACTATTTTGCTCTCAATCCAAGTATAAATAATTCACTTACATAATCAGGGAGTCGGAGAGTAGGCTTCCTCATGCTTCCCATCACATACAGGTTCCTCAGAATCTAAGAATGTTAATGCTCCCCTCAAAAGGTGAGAGGCAGAAAGGCCATGGGGCCACTGTACCACCCTCTCCTCTGCCTCTCCTCTTACCACTCATCCCCACTCAGCTCTGCAGAAGGGAAAGGGCAAGCGGGGAGCATGTTGAGAAGAAATGTATGCTTTTTTTCTGGGTGGTTTTATACCCAATTTTATAGCTATGGTAACGAAAACACGGACAGATACAGGATGGGAAGTTTGGCCAAAAGGGAAAGCAACAGACACCAAAACTAATGTTTAAATTTTCAGCACAGTCTAATGCATTTGTCCACACTGCCCAGCAACCAACACGGGCCAGGGTGAGCGATTGCCAAGTTCGAGGAAAGCTGATGAAGAGAGGAGCGCACACACACACAACTGGTGCCATCAGTTCAACCCAGTGTTTACTGAAAACCTACTCTGTCCAAGTCACTGGCTCAGCGCTGCGAAAGATCCAAACTCAGTGCGGCGCTGGCACTCCAAAAGCAGGTAGTGCAACAGTGGGAATTCGAATCCATTTCAAATGAGTTCAGACTGATTGGGCACCTACTATGTGGCAGGAACTAGATGGCTGGGCTAGAGTAATGAAAGAGATATAGAGAAACAGGAACCTCTCCTCATAGGTCCTACAGTTTACAAAATAAGACAAGAATTTAGGTGAATAAAATAGATGGCAAAATTTGCTAAGTGCCTCATGAGATATAAACAAGTATTAAGAACATCAAATGAGAGGCAGATCATAAAAAGCCTAATACGAACTGACCTCCTCCCCTGAGCTTCCGCAGTACGCTGTGCAGAGCTCTCTCGCTGTACTCTCCTGTAGCAGTCTGCTCAGTGCTTCCCTTTCCCCACTACACTACTAGCCACCTGAAGGCAAGGACTTCGCCTTATTCACTTCTGTATCCCCGACATCTACGACATGATATTATAGAGTCAGTAAATGTTTGCTGACCGGTGGTGGGTAGCTGTGGGTAGCTGGTATAAAGGTGATTTCATTGGTAGGTAGGTACAGGGGAGAGGTAAATAGCAGGGAAGAAGAGAGCTGGGGAAGCCTTGAAGGATCAACAGGAGTTAAATAAGCACAGCTGGCATTCTAGACAGAAGGAAAATATGTGAACAGGCACACAGAAGAGAAAATGTTCTGCAAGTATTTAGCTGGAGCAGAGATTACAGAAGGAGAATAGTAGAAGATAAGACTGAAGGGAAGGATGGAGCCACATCTTGAAGTCAATAAAATGGAAAGCCACTTGGAAATGCTTGAGAATGAGACTGTGTGGTGGGCAGCATAACAGATCCTGAAGACATCTGCACCCTGATCCTCGGAAGCTATGAATATGTTACCTCCCACGGCTAAAGGGACGTTGTAGATATGATTAGGGTGAAGGACCCTGAGATGGGGAAAGTGTCCTGGATCATCCAGGTGAGTCCAATCTAATTCAATGAGTCCTTAAAATCAGAGCCTTTCCAGCTACAGTCAGAGACATGCTACAACAGAAGAGGCAGGAAAGACTCTAAATGTGGGAGAGACTTGACCCTCTCTGCTCTTCCCCAGATGTCTGCACTGCCTCACCTCTTTCAGGTTACCACTGAAAAGCCGCCTTTCTCATTTATGACTTCCCTGGCCACTCTAAGTTACAAACCACTACCCCATCCCAGCCCCAACACTCCCTGTTGCCTCCTTTCCATAATGTATTTTATTGATCTATTTTTGTCTCAATAGCACATACTACTATCTAAACTATCCCATGATATCCAAATTTATTCAGTCTCTGAGTTCAGAGAGTGAAAAAGAGTTCAGATAGCAAGGCATAATACACTATCCAAATTTGATTGATTCCTGAATTTTGGATAACATGTAATAAGAGTTCATAAAGCAAAGGATTCATCCAAAAGTACTTGAATCCATTTACTTCCTGAGCTCACATAGGAGTTCAGATAGTGTGACACTGCATAGCATCAGATAACTTCATGTATAATTTACTAATTTTATTATTCATTTTCTGTATTTCCTCACACTGGAATATAAACTCCATGAGGTCATGTGGTCTTACCTGTTTTATTTGCTACTATACCCCCAGCACTTACAATAGTGCCTAGCACATAGTAGGCACTCAGATATTTGTTGAATGAATTAACACTTGAAAATGTAGGAGCAACTGAGGTCACCAAGGTAAAGCATATACAGACAAAAAAGAAAAGGGCCTAAAGAGAACACAAGGACCATATTTGAAGGGACTGAAGACCAAAGAAACAGGGAGGGAGAAAACAGAGGACTAGGAAAAGGCAGTACCATGCAAGCTAGGAAGAACATGCCATTTCTAAGAGCGGTGGTCTACAGTGTCAAATGCTGCAAAGGTCTCCAGGCTTATAATTAGAAGAACAATAGTAACCTTGAGGCAAACAAATTATCAAAGTAGAAAAAAAAAGCCAGATTGCAAAGGGTTAAAGAGTGAACACATGGAAAGGCAGGGAAAAGAATGAAAACAAAGTATGTTCTAGAAAGGTTTAGCAAAGCAAAGGAGAGAGATGAGGTATCAGGAGAGGGTGTTTGTCATGTTTAGCTATGTTTTGTTTGTCAAAATAAAGGAAAGGCTAAGCACTGAGCGCAGGGGCTGTGTCTCATTGCTGTTGTGTCCCTAGGGCTCAGCGCAGGGCCTGACACAGACCAGACGGGAAATAAAGATTCCATGATGAATGGAGAAGGGGAAAGAACAGGGGCTAAAGGATAAAAGGCAGCTCTGGGCTCTGGAGGAAGTAAGAGCCCACATCAGAGTTAGCCCCGAAAGGAGACCAGTCTGTTGTCTTCAGACATAGAAACAAAGGAAGAAGGAGAAGAAAAGAATACAGAGTTAAGGCACTGGAGAGAGATACTGGCAGAACTCATGCTGAAGGACCTCCATATTTTCACTGAAGTTTGAAATGAAGGGTCATTTCCTCATCGCAAGGGAGAAGAGTCATTGGTAGAGTCTTGGGAAGAAACATGAAATAGTCACCATCAGGAATGGGATGGAGAGTCAATAAGAAGTGCATAAAAAAAAGAGTAATAATAAATAGACAGGTAAGAACCAAATTCAGGCTTACATGTTCTACTTAGGGCACTAACCCATTATGTAAGAGATGGCACATGTTTAAGCCACCAGGTACCTGAGGTGGGCTTAGACCACTGCAAGTCAACCGCAACGAGGTCCTCCAGCTCTTGCTCTGCCTGAACGAGAGAGACGGAGAGGATGCGGACAGACTGGTAGGCAGCAGTGTTAGACAGCTCCTTTGTAGCATTAAATATCTAAAAGAGAAATTGAAATGTCATTTAACCTAGTGAGTGGTGAACTAGCCTGATGCCTCTTAGTAAACACCACCAATCCTCTGAGCTCCTTCTGGGCTTTCAATACACTGAGATCAAATAAATAACCAAAACCACCGGGATGGACTGAATCACCTTGATCCACTCTGTCTAATAGAGACCATGATGAAACACGTTCCCAAAGAGGGTAGGAATATAATGAAAACTGTGACCTTAAGGAGCAGGTCTATACTAGAGAAGAGGAGCTACAGAGTAGTTTAGGCTAAAGAATATTGACTATCAGAACACTGTGATATCTCGAAACTAAAATACTCCTACTTTGAAAAAGTATCTGATAACACAAAACCATGGCAATTAACTTTCTTAAAAAATGGTGCTTAGGATCCTATGTGAACCGAAAAAGGCCATGGGGAGGTGAGCTGTCTAATCCATACCACACAAGAGAAGTGTGATCCAAAGAAACACACCTGAGAAATAACTGATCTACTGAAACATACTAAAATCAGCCTCAAAATACTCACAGTCATCCCTCCACATCTGCAAGGGATTGGTTGCAGGACCCCCCTTCCCCTAGGACACCAAAACCTGAGGATGCTCAAAAGTCCCTTGTATATAAACTGATATATTTACATATAACCTACAAATATCCTCCTATACACTTCAAATCATCTCTAGATTATTTATAATACCTAACACAATGTAAATACTATGCAAATAGTTGTAATACAGGTTGAGCATCCCATATCCGAAAATCCAAAATCCAAAATCCAAAATGCTTCAAAATCCAAAACTTTTTGAGTGCAGACACAACACCAAAAGTGGAAAATTCCACACATAATTACTCAACACAAATTTTGTTTCATGCACAAAATTATTAATAAAAAGATTATATTAAATTGCCTTTAGGCTATGAGCATAAGGTATATGTGAAACATAAATGAATTTATTGTTTTAGACTTGAGTCCCATCACCAAGATATTTCATCATGTATGTGCAAATATTCCAAAGTTCAAAAAATCCAGAATCCAGAACACTTCTGTCCTAAGCATTTCGGATAAGGGATACTAAACCTGTACTTTATTTTTTTATTTGCATTTTTTAATTGTTGTACTGGTTTTTTTATTCTATTTTTTTTTCTGAATATTTTTGATTCATGGGTGTTTGACTCTGCAGATGTGGAACTCACGGATACAGAAGGCCAACTGTATTCTCATCTTGGTTCTGGTAAGTCACCAAAGAAAAGCATGGGAGTCATGGCGATTTGAAAGGTGGGGTTCAGGGTAACAGCTCAGAACAGTACCAAAGAAGTAAACAAAGAAAAGGGTCCAACCAAAGACAAATCACGTTTTCCCAAATCGCTTTGTGGAACCTCATCAGTTGCCAAGAGTAGACAGCAGTGGCTTAGGGTTTTCCTGGATAAGGATGTGTGTGCTATACTGAGTAATTTCTTTGTTAGTCCTAATAAGCATCATTCTTCTGTGAGTTTATGCACATGTGCTACTTCCTCTAATCCTGATATTTTTAGTTATATTTTTCTTTTATTTTAAAAAGACTGTATCAGAAATATCTTGTTTTGCTTTATTTGTGGGCGTGTTTTTTCTTGAGTCCTGTCTATCCCCTTGGACCAGTCCAGCTTCTCCCAAAACAAAGGGCTAAGAGGAGCATCAGGAAGCCCAGTTACCTTTCGCCTCAGGGAGCAAGAGCTCCAGCTGAGTCGGGGCAGCCACAGCAAGGGGGACAGGAGGCCAGATACTTTCCATTGGCTGCGAGCCACGGAGTGCGCAGCTGGCTCCCTTTCCCTCCCACCACCGCAGAGAATACAGCTGGCCCTCCAGCCACAGTGTAAGAGAAATGACAGAGCAGCCAGGGTGCCCCCACAGAGCATTTCACTGAAATATGCGGTCCCTGGAATCGCTTTCTGACATGCTACTGAGTCTGCCGCAGGCCAGTAAGATGGCCAGATGCAAATGAAATGGCTCCTTTGGTCACAGTGGGAGCCACAGCCTGAAAGGCTCCCTGGGTAGCAGCAGTTCTAGCCTGTCAGGGTTACTGGTCTTCCCGTTACCAGGCCAGAGATTATACATGGTCTCAGGAAAATTCCATAGGTAATCCACACCTGTTCGTTCAGGATCTTAAGTTACATGTAAAGTAAACACTGAAGAGTAAGAACAGGCTGATGCACTCGCAGCATATTCTGGCAGGGAAATTATTTTTCAGCAGCAAGTACCTGTAAAAAGTCACCTCCCTTGAAATTCAGTTCTGCACTAAGCACTAAGGATGGTATGTTGCTTCCATGGAAACAGTGGATGAAACTGCTTTCATTCTCTCCACCCACACTGGCTTCCGCACTGACTGGGAACTCAAGTGCCTTGTCGCAGTGAGACGCCAGCTTGGCGAGGCAGTATGGGAGAACATGCTACTTGTCTTTTAGACCCGTTGCTAACACTGTAGAGTACTGCGAGGCCAATAGAGTCAGGGTGGTTGGCATTCTCTTATATTGTTACCAGCACATGGAACTGGATCCAAAACACTGGCTGGAAAACTTCCATTTTCAAACTCACATTTGTGTATTATTTCAAGCCAAAACTTGAAAGCCACAGAAAGTGTTAACAAAAATGGGGGTGGGGACAATTCCTGCTGTACCTGACAATGTAATGACAATTACTTCTGAAATTGGTATCCTTTCCCGGTATCACTAGGCCTTTTTGATGGAAGCATTTCCTCGGGGATATTGGCAGCAAATTTAGGAATAAAGAGATTTCAGGAAGATTTTCATTTAAATGACACTTGGTTTCCCTGCTGATGAAAGGGGAAGCCTTACTCCATCTGCTGAGATCAGATTTCATCTCATCAAACACCTCAGTGTAATTATTTTTCTACCAAGTATTTAAATGAGGATGTAAATGAATACCAAGGTATTTGAAGTCATTAATGCTGCTGAGGCTGAGAGAGAGCACCGCTGCCTCCCTAGGGACCCAACCATTCACCATCAAAGCAGCTGCTCACCGCTGTTCATTTTGTAACCTTTATACCACATTCTTGAATTAATGAAGACACGTCAAGAATCTATTTCCTCAGAGAATCCTGGCACGGGGTCTGTGGGGTGGGGGGCAAGGCATGTGTGTGAGCGTGTCTGTGTGCACACACACATGCACAAGGACACAGAAAAACTATTTACTTAAAAGAATTTGGAGATTCTGTAAGTTATTTTACCTTCCACTATGGTGGAAGCAGTTCTAAAGTTGAGGTACTAACTATAAAAAGCCAGCTATCATCTCCTGTGAATCTTTGATTGTAATGTGGTACCAGCCCTTCTCTTCTGGATCTTAATTTCTCTACTTGTAAAGTAGGCATCTGGGGAGGCTCAAGATACTGAAAAATGGGTTTGTTTCCTCACTGACACTGGCCATCTTTTTCTGGGCCTAACTAGAAATATCCAAGTCTTAAGACCTACCCTGACTTGGGAGGCGACAGATGAACATTTTAGACTTTTCTCCATTTATAAACATCTCACTCAGTGTTATAAATAACACTCAATTTTAAAATTCTACTTTACCCTAACAACAAGATGGGCATACAATCTGCCATTTCCTTCATTTGAATGTGAAGAGTGGTAGCTTATAGTGGAAATCTTACCTCCTCAGAAAAGTCACATGGAAGGAGAGGAGAAAGAAACAGACACTGCGTGTGTGTGTGCGTGTGCGTGTGTGTGTGTGTGTGTGTGGTGTGTTGCGAGTCTGAGAAAAGAAGCAAAAGGAATAAAAGGGAAGCCATGTAGAGCATCTTTTTGATCAAAAAATAAGATTCTATAGACTGTTAAGAGACTAGAAAACTTGGCTTTTGGTTCTGTCAGCACCTCAAATGCTCTCTTACAAGCTAAGTGCATGATTTAAAACAAAAAAAATTAAAAATTAACACATGGATGTTTCAGATGGAATCTTTTTTCTATTCCTCTGTATCTCAGAGTTTGCAGCCCTAGCTTAATACTGAAGATGCTTAAGAGTAAATTCTCAGCAGAAAAAATGTATTTACTCCTAACAATCAAAATCTGACTTAACTTGACAGAAAATGGGATGGGATCCCCTGGCACAGATGGCTATTGAGTAAGTGACTACACAGATACAAACAGATCTGGTCCATGCCTTTCTGTGTAAACAGGGAACTACAATGAAAGCATTAAGTACTGTTTTCCAGCCTGAGCAAGAATGAGACCTGTCTCTACAAAAAATAGAAAAAACTTAGCCAGGCGTGGTGGCGCACTCCTGTGGTCCTAGCTACTCGGGAGGCTGAGGCAGGAGGATTGCTTGAGCCCAGGAGTTTGAGGTTGCAGTGAGATATGATTGCACCACTGCACTCTATCCCGGGTGACAGAGTGAGACCCTGTCTCAAAAATTTATGTATAAAAAAAAGAAAAGTACTGTTTTCCTTAATGAGTTAACAGCAATTCCACTTCTATACAAAACCACGCTTTCTATCAAGAGATAAAACTTCAATTTTGCTCCCACTCACTTATGCTTAAAGAAAGTCAAGCCAAAGTTCAGTTTAATAAACATTTCAATTCAAAAAGCTTCCATATATTTAAGTAAGGCAGAAAGTAAGAGTAAATAAAATATTAATTAGGAAGACTTAAATACAATAATTTAGACTGTGAATCAGAAAACTAATGATGAAATGAAATAGATATGTCCAAAGTAAGATCATTTTAGTAGCATTATTTAGTAATAGGTTTAAAAGAGGAAAAAAGTAAAAAAGCTATAAGGAATAAAAGCTATTGAGGCAAAACAAGAAATCAAAAAGCATGTAAAAGGACTCAATTTTACGAATTTTTCAAAAAGAAAAATGAATTGAGACCATGGTCTAGTTACAGAGATTATTAAATCTCAAATGCAAATATTTCTCAAAGATGAAGAAGTGAATAATAAAAAAAAAAGGCAAGAAAATAAAAATCAACTTGAGAATAAACCCAGTTTTGGAGAAAGTGCTAGGCGAAACAGTAATCTTTCCAAGTTACTAACCTATTAAAGGAAATAAATCAAAGTATATAAAAGATATTAGTGCCAATCAATAACTACTGATTCAATCAATAACTTACCTCTTAAGGTTGTTAAATCAAATTCATTAATACATTCAAAGCACTGAGAACAGATCTTGGCACATGGTAAGTACTCAATCAATAGAAACAGCCCTCCTCCTCATTACTGCCTCCCTTCTCCTCTTCCTTTTTCTTCTTCATCACCATCAACATTGTTTATTATTTCTGAGGCTTTGAAAATTACCTGTAAAACAGTCATCTGCATGTTACTCTGCCCACTACAGAGCCAGACATCTCCAAATAAGACATCATGAACTCTCAGGGTGAAGTTCGTTCTCCCCAAAGTCTGTTGTGCCATCACTTCGAAAGGTCCACCAGGCTTCATAGGATCTAGCACCACCATCCAGGTATCAGAGTGTGCTGAAATAATAACAAGGCTCCAAGGAATTAATCAATTAATTAAAATGAAATTAGAGCCCAATCATACTCATTTGTGGTGATTCCCACCCTCTGTAATACTGAATTCAAGGCTGTGAAGATTGGCCAGATATCAGAGAAGGGGATAGAACTACAAGAGCAGCAACATTTTTATCCTTAATCTGTACCAATCCATCCTTACTTTTAACTGAAGCATTTACAAAAAAAAATTTTAAAAGTTACCCAGCTTTAATCCTAAATAAAGACAGGCAAAAATACACACAGATTAAAATTCAAGGGAATTTAATAAAAAACATAAAATAGAAATTTGTGTTATATCATCCAACTGTCGATATTAACACAGTCTAATCCAATCAAATGTGAGCACAGGTTAGAGAACAGTTTTTATAATCTGAAACTTCCCTTTACTTGGCAGTATCGCCCTTGTCATCAATCCCCACCTCCTCTCATGTTTCTAACAAGGATTGATACTTCCAGTGGTCTGGGTTCTCCCAACAACAAAAGAGGTGAGTGGAGAAATTTACACATAAAAGAGGAATGGGGGGGATATAAATTAATCTCTTTGTGAAGAAGATAGTCTGATTTGCCCAATTAATTATTTTCAAAGAGTTATTTACAAGCCTTAAGGTTGTTGGACTCAGGGAGATGAGAAGCTACCCAAGACCCCATTTTGGAAATACTGAATCATCCTTAGGAACCAGCCCTAGCACCCTCCCACCTCACCACTCACCAGACCACCCCTGCCAATGTCACGCTCAGAAACTTAGGGAAAATACCTTCAAAATGACAAAATTATGCCTAGGCGAACCAAATAACATGAACAAAGTTGACAAAACAAGAGTGGGGAAAAAAGAAGAAATAGAGAAATGGATATTTTAAAAATAAATATTCTTGGCATTATGCCAAAGAATACGAACTAATTTATAATTTTTATCCATCAGGTCAATGTAAATTCAGAGAGAAAAAATGGCAAGAACTGGAAATGGAACATCCCAAAGTTATTATACTCAATCTTTGAGACATAATAATTATAAAAATACCACCCAAGTGCCTACCATATGCTAGACATTGGGCAAAGTTCTTTCTATTCAGCAAGAGATAAGCAGAAGCATGAGATGTCCACATACATGACAGGTGATTAGTAAAAACTCAAATCATAAAGGATTTCTCAGCGTCCTGGAGGAAATGTCCAAAAACCCCTAGGCATCAGTGAAAGGGCATATGTTTGCTCCTCTCAAAAGCAAGACCAATTGTGCTTGCTACTCCCATCCCTAAGAGGTTAATTAAGCCAGACCAAATGTTCGATATTGTTTTTATACCACCAATAGCAAGACATCAACATATTAAATGTATAATTCACCTAAACCAGAAAAATCATTGTTTTGGAAACAGTGGGCAGCTAGTACAGATTGTGTGGCACAGGTGTGATGTGCTCCATATGGCTCACACTTCTGAGCAGGCAGACACTCCAATCTGTCCCAACTATAGGCTTGCCAAGGTCTTTCCAGGCTTCCTGCACTGACATATCTTACCGGAGCTCGGTCCTTCTGCCACCAACATTACTCACTTATGATGATAAGGTCAACCCCCAGAAAAGCTAGGACAGGACTATTTCTTAGCCTTCTCATGGCACAGTTTATTCCCACTCACTGCTGTTATTCAGGTCCTTACACTTAGTCTCAATCCAACATGGCTGGTGAAGAAAACTACCTTCACCAGACCTTCTGAGGAATTTTGCTACCCAGTCATAAAAAACAGTGAATGAGGGTGAGGGGCAAACTATTTGGGCAAAACATGGCAATACCATCCTCCTACAGCCAGAGGTTGAGCTCCCTCTAGCACCTAAAGCCTGAAGAGAGCTAGACATCAAGACCTCGATTTTATTCCCAAGAACTGCCCTCTCAGAGAAATCTCAACTTCTTCAAAGACCTTGAAGAACTAACTACTTCTGTGCTGGTCCTCAAATTCTTTTAGTTTCTACCTTTTTTCCTCTCCCACTTGATAAAAGAAAAATAAACTGTGACATAATAATGAGTGTTAAGAAAAGTTAACTTCCAGGTAAGGTAGGGGAAAGCTGATTGCACTACAGAGAGGTTACTAACAGTCAAACTCAAAGACAGCTCATTTAAAACAAAAGGGATTTACTCCTACGTAAGTATATACAAAGAAGAACAGCGTCTGCGAAGACTTCTTAGAGCAAAGGCAACGGTGGGATTATAAAAGCAAAAGCCACCATGTTCCACAAGGACAATTAATCCTTGGCTTGTCTGTTCAGGATTGGTTGGTTGAAGTGGAGCTCACCACTGGCCAATGAAGTCCAGCAAAGAGATTTTAGAAACTGTTTTAACCCATCACATCCATTTGCTTGAGTCCAAACAATAAATTTGAGCCACTGACCCAGAGAGTTCACCATCACTGGATGCCAGTTCACCATCCAGCTGGTTTTCTGCTGATCCTGAGGCTTTCTGAGTGACACCTGCTCTGGTTCCCCCTGGGCCCTAACCACTTCCTATCTTATAATCTCTTTTACTGGTCCAGCCAGGATCAGGTTTTGGGCATTCTCATTTTCAGTGCATTCAAATCTCTAACTTCCTCATGTTCTTTCTTCTACTACCTAGGAAGATTAATTTCCTTCCTTCATCATACAGCTACTTAAAGTGCTTACCGTGTGCCAGGCACTCCATCAAGTAAATGACAGAAAACCCCATCCCTGGGTTACACCGACAACAAAGCCGTGCAAATTGGGGCTTTACATTTTCATGTTTACATTTCTAGAGGCCTATTTCTTATTGTCACTCCTCTTCATATTCCAGCCAAGGGCATAAGTAAAGAACTCTCTATCTCTATTTCCTCTTCATCTCCCCAATTAACTCCCACCTCACAATGGGAAGAACAAAACAAACTATCAAAGGGGAAAAAAATGAAAATAATTTATCTAGAGACATAATTAGTCATAGTGCTTTCTTGCTTTTTCTTCTTGCTATTCACATCAGATGTTAATTATTTTGCACGTTATCGTGCCAAAATCTCAGATGCCAAGAAGAGAAAAAGGAAAATTATTCGTGACCTTTCCCTTCCCAAGAGTAAAAAACGAAAGCTGAAAGAAGCAGCCTGTTCATTTCTTCCCCACAAATGCTGGCTCCGTATCAGCTACAAAGTGGTTCAGTGGTTTGTAGAAGTGGCCTGGAGATAAAGAAGGCCTGACTGCCTAAACTGCTCCTTCCTGACCTACATTTATTCTGTAGTCTAACGTTCATCTCCGCCACCAAATATGAATGCAAGGGAAAAAAACAGCTTAAGTACTTTTCTTTCAATAAAACTGCTCAGACAAGTGACATAAACTATAGCATGCTATGGCAGATACATCCTAGGGTGACACCCCAAAGTCACACCATTGTTTAATCCCCTCCCCTCAAGTGCAAGCAAAATCTGTGATTTGCTCCCAACAAAATGGCAAAGGGGATGAGATGTCACTCTCATGAAAGGATTTTGCAGATGTGATTATAGTCTCTAATCAGTTGACTTTAAGTCAATAAAAAAGAAGATTGTCCTGGGTGGGCCTTCCTACTAAAGTGAGCCCTTTATAAGAGAGTCTAGTGGTCAGAGATCTAAAGAAGCAGAGATGCTGCCATGAATTCTATGCCTCAAGGAAATGAATTTTGCCAGCAACCTAAGGGAGCACGGAAGCAGGTAACGCCCTATTTGTGCCTCCAGATGAGAACACAGCCTGGCCTACGCTTTGACTTCGGCCTTGTGAGACCCTGAGCAGAGAACCCGGCTACCCCATAGCCAGACTTCAGACTACCGAAATTGTGAAACAGTAAAAGTATGCTGTTTTAAGCACCTAAGTTTGTGGTAATTTATTACATAGCATAGAAAACTAGTATGCATGCTGGCATCACAGACGGAAGTGAGGAGGGTTTTAGGATTTTTATATTTTTTTAAGTTAGAGAAAATGTATGTATTTACCTCAATCGTGATGACAAATACAAGCAGACACACTCTCATTTTCTCATCTACATATACACAGCCCCACCATTTATGTCAAAGTGGGAGGATATACCGTTTTTTTCCCCTGATTTTATTCCTTGTGTCTGAAGAAACCGTCACTCATCATTTGCTGACATGGTTTGAACTGATCCGGTACCTGACCATGGTCCCAATCATCTCTCAGGTTTTAATTTTACCAATGTTTAAGTGTCAGTCTGCTGGACAAAAACTTTTATGTTGTTAAATCCCACTTTGTTTCAGGTACCTGGGAGACACTTATAGGTAATAAGTTAAATATTACCAGAGGTAGACAAAGTGGCAAATTGAGGTAGTCCGGTTGAAAGTCTCAGAGTCCTTGTCAAAATCTAAAATAGAAATCCACCTTCCAACGTCCCCCGCAGTATCTCTTTTGAGAGAGATTTTCTTTTCTGCCCTGTGAAATTTCTTACATGTCTACCTCCTGGATTCCAGAGAACACTACATCTATTTTGCTTCATGGGCAGGACAGAGCAAGATGTCCACTGAAGCAGGTTTGCCGATCTCTATGAACTCAAATACCTTCCTTCTCTACTAAGCAAATGTGGGAAATATAGTAAATAGATCCACCACGCCCCACCACCACCAACAACATCAACCCCTTTTCCTGTGAAATTATCAACAGTCTATGAATCACTTGATTCCTTTAAGTTGCTGTTGGTCATTTTAATTCCAAATGATGCAGCACTTTGCAGTGAAGCAGCTGGAGTATTACTTGAGTCTAAACTACTAAATATGAAAGGACGGAATGAGAGAGTGAGTTCCTAAAGGTGGGCACTATGTGTATTCTTCTTTGTATTATTGTAGGGTTTCTGGCTCAGAGTGTTTTATGCAGAGTGAGCCCTTGATCAATGTTCATAAAATTGAACTCAAGATAAATGCGCAGGTTCACAATCACCATAAAGGAAAAGGGAGGCTCGTCTCCTAATTATTACCTTTTATTCCACCTACCTTCCTGCCACATGTCTGCCCACCTCAAATATTAGTTCTGAAACAGGAATGAAGGGGGAAAAACTCTAAAAATAATGCATAAGAACTTTTTTAAAAACTGAAATGCTATATAATATTGTATGTTTCCTGTATCTCTCTCCTCAGTACTAGGTAGTCTCTGACTCCTAAATATTTATCGATACTGTTAATTATTAGCACCAAGGAAATCCGATTCTTATTTTTAAACCATAGCAGTTCTTTGGATTTCTACCCCAATGTCATTCACTGATAGTGCCACTATTTGTACATGATGCTTCTCATTTCTGATATGGACACAGCACAAACAGAAAGCACTGCTGGTCCCTTGAATTCATCACTTCAATACATCCTGCAAGTCACTGACAGCCTTTCGATCCCACAGAGAACCATGTCTCAATCAACTTAAGCATCCCTTTTAGTTCTTTTTGTTTCATCAACAATATTCTTACCTTAAAAATCTTAAAATCCAAGAATTAGAAGCACTTACTTTGCACCTATGCCTGGCACATAGTATTTAAAAATGTTTGCTGAATGGAAGTGTATAATGAAGAAACTGTACCAAGGCCCGGATCATTCTGGATTAGATCATCAGTTCCATATACTGATAAAACTAGCCAGGCAATCCTTGTTTTCAGAAGCCAGTACAATTCCCACAAGCTGCCCTTCCACTATATATGCTAGGCATTGTTCAAACCACCAACTCGTGCATTAGTTCCATCCCTACCCCAGAGTAGCCTCCTCACCTGTCTCATTCTCACTCCCACAGCCCACAGCTGTACAGCTGCCTCTGAGACCCAGCCCCGAGCGTGACTTCCTGCACCCCATAACTTCTATCTTTGCCTCCTCCACACAGTCTTCTACATCTTTATGTCTTCTAGACAGAGACTCCTTTGTAAGGTCTCCCCGCTCATAAAAACTGCTAATTCTTGCCTTCTTGAATCCTCCCAGCCACTCTCTTGGGTCAAGCCCTCACCATTTACTCTCTGGATATCACAGCAGCCTGCTAGCAGGTTCTCCCACCTCTATCTTACTGATCTCCAGTCCATCTTCCACAGTGCTACCAGAGTGAGCTTTCTAAATACCAAACTGATGTTATTTTGCTATTTAAAATCTATCAGTCCAGAATAAAGTATACATTCCTTAGCAATGACAAACAAGCCTTCCTACCTTTCCAACCTACCTCCTGCCATCTGCCACCAGTCATGTACCCCGGACCACCAACCTTCCTGGCATTTCTCCAATGACCTAGACACACTCATGCTTCCCTGCCTTTGCCCAGACTATCCCCTCTACCTGGTCTGCCCTATTCACCTGTCAAGATGAGCCTTAGACTAAGTTAATTATCCCTCCTCCCTGCAAACCATTCCCACAGCACATGTCCTTCCTCACTGTGGCACTTATCACACCCAACTGTAATCGCATATTATTTTTCTGTCTCCTCGCCTCAGCTACAGCCTTCATTAAGGGAGAGGCCACATCTGCTTTTCTCAGTACCAGTACCTAGCACAGTAACTGGCACACAGTAGGCACTCGGTAGATATCTGAGTGACCGACTACACAATAATAAAGCAGTGACACTGATGACTGCTAAAAGTTAGTACTTACTGCATGCCAGGCACTGTTCCAAGTACTTTACAAGTGTTAATTCATTTAATCCTCACAATATTCCTGTAAGTATTCTGACTATCTCTATTTTACAAATAATGTGTGAAACAGAGATGTTAAATAACATGTCTAAGGCTACACAGCCATTAAGGGACAGAGTCAGGACCTGAATCCAGGCAGTGACTTGCAGAACCTAGTCTTAACCACCCCTCCATACAACCTCTCCTTTATATATGATTAAGCTCAAATGTCACCATCTGTGGCAGTCTGAGTCAGTCTGTTTCTCTTCTGTACACCATGACGCCCCATATACACCTTCATCATAGTATTCATCACACTGCGCTATATGACTTGGTGTCTATTCCCATTATTCCATGAGCTCCTTGAGAACAGGACTTTGACTCAGTCTTAATTTTCTTTGTGTCTTCGGTGCCCAGCACATGGTAAATAACTCAAATAATTCAGATGGATGGATGGATGGACAGATGGATGGATGGATAGCTAGCCTGAGCTGGAGCATAAGCATTCATTTTCAGATAATCCAGCAGGTGGCAGAAGAAGACAATAGCTGAACAGAGGATGGGCTGCCTTACCTTTCACACTGGTCACTTTCTTCATGATGGTTTCTTGACCTTGGCACAGGGTCACTGTCACTGTGGCGCCAGGTGTACCAAAGCCCCATATCACTGCCCCAGCAGGCTCCTTCTGCAGCACCATGTAATTATCGATGTATGAAGCAAAGCGAAAACCAATACCTAAAAAATTTAGCAAACACTGAGGGAAGCATCACGAGGGAGATTCTGCACCAACTGGATCGACTGAAGCAGCAAGGACCATACAGTCTTTAGACAAGAGAATTTGAATATGCTCAGTCCTTTTAATCTTCTACAACGCTATCTGATTCCTCTAATCAGGTGAGCAACATAACAAGAACAGTTTCCAACAATAAGAAAAACTCAAGGTACCCAGGGCAACCAATGTACCACAAGCCTCCTCTCCTCCCCTTCAGAGCTCTTGACCTTCCTTTGCTCTCAGGCTTGGCCCTAACATTGAGCTCTCTCCCCTTAAATCACTAAAATTCTCCTTTCATGCACCCCACAGATGGTGTTTTTGAGACAAAATAAATCACTTCCTTACCCTCCTTTCCATTACCACGCGCCCACTCCTAATGACTGGGAATAAAGCAGCATGCCTCTCTCCAACACAGCCTTCTCTAATCTCCCCCCCTCTTACTCTCCCCTCTATACACTACCAGTGTCGATTTCTTTTAAATAATTCCCCTTATTTTGGTTTTTTGACAACCCAGTGTACTGCATCAAAAACTCTAAATAAGCATGTATGAAAATCTGTGACTAGTCTGCTTCTTTCTCAGGTAAATTCAGATGAGTCAAAACGCAAAATTAAGGTGAGGATAGAAGGTCAACATGCCTGAACAAAAGTCTTCTGTCACAATTTTACCCTTTTCACAAACTAAATTATACAAAAAGAACATGAGGAAGCACACTTGAAACTGAATTCTATTCTAGAGTCACTAACAAGACTGAATAAGAACTCACTTTAACGAGATCATTCCTATTTTTAACATCCAGCCTATATGGAAGTATTTTTTAATAACAAACATCGATCCAAATTATCTCAGAGTTCCTCATCAAGACTTAACAAGGAAAAAATAAAACTTAAGTTATATCTCAATTTGTCTGAACAAAACAGACCAAAGACAACCCTAAAAGAAAATAATTAACAAAATTTTTAAAATTTTAAAGGGTTTTAAACAAAACTGATAGGCAGGAAAGAGAATCAGAATGAACAAGACTGACATTTTCCTCCCTGGAAGCTATAATTGATGATGGCCCTTAGGCTATACTTAACAGGGCAGTACTGCTAATAGAGTCTCCTACACAAGCTCCCTGACCTATTTATCCTGCTCTTAGAATAACAGCCCAGTCCCTAAAAATCCTCAGCTCTGTCTCATGAGCTAGTTTGATCAAGAAACCTACATGACAATCAAACATCACCCAGAAGGTCTACTGGGCTGGAGATGCACAGCTGCCATGAGCAAAATGCTCTAAGAAAAGACTACAACAACCCAGAATTCCATAAGCAGGTTGGGAGCCTGCTGGGGGGAAGGGGAAGACACATGTGTGGGAGGGCCTTGTCTTGGGTAGGTGCTTCATATGGAACAAAAAAAAAACGACTACCACAGGCATAAATAAGAGCTAAGCAGAGAAAGGGGAATGGAGTCACTAGCTGTAGCTTGCCTATTTGTGTGTGCAGCCAGTAGCCCACAGGCTGGGCAGGGGAAGCTTTTCAAGTCAGCCTATTTTCACCAACGTAAGCTTAGGGAACCTCACTGTGCAGACTGCACGCTGAGCAAAGAATTTTAGAGGTAGAAAGGATCTTCATAAGCATAGTATAAGCATGTTACTTACTGACCAAGAGGAATAATCACACTGCTGATCAAGAGACTGAGATCCAATTAAATTAAGAAATTTTTAAAAATAGCTTACATAGTCGTTAATTCAAAAATACCTACTTATTGATGCCTACTATGTGCCAGGTATTATTTTAAGCATTGGAGATATAACAATGAAAAAAAGGAGCAAAAAAATAAAAACAACAGCAAAATTCCTTGCCAGCAGGGAGCTTCCATCCTACTGGAATAGGCTCCGTGCTAAGCACACCCCAGGCGTTAAGCTTCTTTGGCCTCACCTCACACAGGTAGTTTATGACAGCGCTAGAAACCAAGTCCCATGATTCCCAAGTTCTCCTAACTTTCACTTTGCCACAGTTAGATTGTGGTGGTAAATCAAAGAAAAAATCATATTCCTTGCCCTTGTAAAGCTCAAATTCCAAGCTGACTAGACAGTGGAACATGACCAAGGAAGTGAGCAATGGACAAAAAAAGAGAAAGAGAGTGAGACTGGTAATTGTTTGGGCCAAATATAAGACACACACATTTAACATATGAATTTTTTCTTTAGGTCTTCAATTTTTTTCCTTCATTCAGGGGTTGGAGTAGAAAAATAAGAATTATTAGTGTTGTGGGGACAAGACCACCTTTAAAAGTAGACTAACAAAATCAGAACAGTGGTTACCTCTAGTAGAGAACTGGTTGGGGCACACTGGCAGTCTCAATAAAACTAGCAATGTTCTAGTTCTCGAGTTGGGTGTTCACTTTATTGTTTCATTGTTACATATTTTTCACATCTCCAATATTACATGATAAACATAGGCACAGAGGAATGATTTAAAGGAAGGATGTCAGGATGTGCAACCAAGTAACAAGGAAGGAAAATTTGAAGTACTAATGAATGAAAAATGTAGCCAATGTTAGTGAAGATGATGTAACCATATGAATCAAAGGAGGAGATAAAATACTGACACTAAAATAAACAGCCTTTAACAGAAAAACTAATAAAATACCTTCTCCCCACCTCATTTTTTTTTTTTTTTTTTTTTTTGAGACAGAGTCTC